CCACCTGGATATCTTCTTTTATAAAGTACCTGCTGCCCAATTTCTACTGAGTTGTCCTTAACATTTCTTGATCTGTGGGTATTCTTATATATGCTCAAGATGAACCTTGTCAGTTTTGTGTGTTATAAATATTTTCTCCCACTGTATGGCTTGTCTTTTTACTCTCTTAATGGTGTGTCTTTATAAAGAAAAAAGTCTTAAGTTCAATGTAGTCTAATTTATCAACTTTTTTTTCTATGATTAGTGTGTTCTGTGTCCTGTTTAAGAAATCTTCCCCATTTCAAAGTCATGAACATATTCTCATGTCAACTTTTAGAATTTTTATTATTTTACAATTCACATTTGGATCTATAGCCCTCACAAGACACATTTTAATTTTTATTGATGTGTAACTTAGAGAAAGTGCACAAACCATTAACCATTCAGCTTGATGAATTTATACACATGTATACAAATGTACATATAGTTGACTTTTAAACAACATGGGCTTGAATTACGTGGGTCCACTTAGACATGGGTTTTTGCTATAAATACAGTACAGTACTATAAATTTTCTCTTCCTTGTGATTTTCTTAATAACATTTTCTTTTTTCTAGCTTACTTCATTGTAAGAAAACAGTATATGATAGAGATAACATACAAAATATATATTAATCAATTGTCTATGTCAACGGTAAGGCTTCCAGTCAACAAAAGGCTATTAGTAGTGAAGTTTTTAGGAAGCCAAAAGTTATACGCAGATTTTCGACTGTGCAGGAAGTTGATGACTGAACCCTCATGTTGTTTAAGGGTCAACTTGTGTGTGTGTGTATACTACCTAGATCAAAACAGTGAACATCTCTCACACCCTTGAGGGATCTCTCATACCTTTTTCAGTCAATAACCCCCAAGGGTAACAATACTGTGCCTGTAACACCATCAATTATTTTGCCTGTTTTTGAACTTTATATGCATGAAAGCATATATTTGGTGCTCTTTTGTGTCTGATTATAATTTGCTCAACATCACGCGTGTGAGATTCATCCACGTTGTTGCATGTTGCAGCTCTTCGTTCATTTTCATTACTGTATTCCATCATATGACTACATCACAACTTATTTATCCACTCTCCTTCTGATGGACATGTGGATTGTTTCTTATTTCAGGGTATTATGAATAAAGTTCCTATGAATATTCTTGTACACGTCTTTTGAAGGATATAAATACTCATTTCTTTTGGCTGTCTACCAGGATACACAAAATTTTGATGTTACCATACTACAAAAACTATTTAGATTTGTCAAGCTCTCCCTGTCAAGTACATATAACATATTTTAGTTGTTCCCACATCCATAATTCTTATTAGAAAAAAAGTGAAAACCTTTTCTACTTCTTTGAAATAATTTCAGACATACCCCAAATTGCAAAAACAACACAAAAAAAGTCCATATGCTCTGTATCAAAATTCCCCCTTGTCAACATTTCACTATATTTGGTTTATCATTAATTATCCCGTGTGCATGTCGGGGTGCGTGCGTGTGTGTGTGTGTGTGTGTGTATGTATGTATGGTCTTGACACTGTTGAAGAGTATAGGCCAGTTACTTTGTAGACTCTATGCATTTGGGTTTATGTGACATTTCCTCATGATCAGATTCAGGTTATGTGTTTGGAGCAAGAATACACAGATGTGATGCTGAGTTCTCAGTACATCATATCAGAAGGCACATGATGGTGATTTGTCTCTACTGCTGTTGCTAATTTTAATCACTTGGTTAAGGCAGTATCTGCCAGGTTTCTCCACTGTAATATCACTGTTTTTCCCTTTGTTATTAATCAGTGTCTTACGGGAAGATGCTTTGAGATTATGTAAATATCCTGTTTCTCGTCCTACTTTCATTTCCTAGTTTTACCATCCATTGATGATTCTTTTTAAAAATTTTAATTTCAGGATAGTTAACATACAGTGTTATTCTTTATTCTGTTCATGATTCTTGCCTGAAATAATTTTTATGGAAGTGATGAAAACTGGTTTTTGTTTTTAATACCTTCAAATTTTTCAAAAAATCTTACAGCGATAATCAGGATTTCTCACAAATCCAACTGAAATCCAGAAGATCACCAGACATTTATCCGTAAAAATACCCCCAAAGTCACCTTGAAAGATTAAAAAAAATAAAACTGGCAAACTGTGGTGGTGGCATTCTCAAGCAAAGTGCAGCCACCCCCTGGGAGCCTGAGAGTCAGCCAAAGAAGACAGAAAAGGAACTCTCCTACAAGTCTCCACTTCTGTGCAAACCACCCCCAGACCATCTTGGAGCAGGCTGAGAAAAGATGTTTTGCATGCTCAAAGCATCTCATTCCAGAAGGAGCACCTAGAATGAGGAGCAGGGGTCAAATCCTGCAGATCCTGAGGGCCCCTGGGGTTCAGCCTGTGTCTTCTCTGGAGACAAAGCAGAAGGTGAACTTTGCCCTTTTCTTTCCAGGAGATTCTCACTCACCTTTCTAGCTTTCTGGAGGCTGGGACCTGCTCACCTGCTTAAGCAGCAGACCCAGCACAATCAATCCATAGAGATCCTAATATCCTGTGGGTTAACTAGTGAGGCTCTCTGGAAGCAAAGTCACCAAGTGAGTTGACATATAAGCAGATTCCAATTTATAAGTGGACGGAGTCCCAAAAGCTCATCCTTCAAGCCAAGGGTGAGAAATGCAGACTCTGCAGGTTAGCTCACAAAACCAATAACTCACAGGGCAGCTGCACAGATGACTGAAGACTGAGACGGGAACCTTCACCTAGAACATGATCCCTGCAAGATGAAGACTTTGACTGAAGCACCAGGAAGACAACTTGCCTCAACTTGTCCAGCACAGTTTTACTCAGCAAGACCCACCTTAGCATGGGTGATACATCAGGCATTGTGCTGAGCACTGGGGAACCAAGGATGGGTAAGATATGGCCTCTGCCCTTGAGAGCTTACAGCAATGGGAGGTTTCTGCCACGGGTAGACCCAGGGTCACCAAGACTCCAATGGATGGTGGAGCATGGGCCCCACAGTCCCAACAGCTGTATTCAGACTGGCTGGACATGAGCAGTCTCAAGGGGGAGGGCTGCCTGCCTAGTGGGCGGCTAAGCCTGGCTGTGGCAAAGCACATTTCACTCAAAGGTATCCATCTACCAGTGGTTATATGGTGGTCCAATTTTACCAGGAAAGGAGACACATCCACCAGCTACTTCTTCTCTCTCCAACCCACAAAGTAATACATTTTTCATACTTGTATCTGTTGTTCTTGTTTTTATCACCCCCTCTGTCATGTTCCTTGAAAACATTAGCATTTTCAAAGAAGAAATGAACGACAGTAGAAGGGTACAGTCTGATAAAAGGTCATCTTTTCTGCCTGAGTCCCCAACTCTGAAACCTGCAATTGCTGGACCAAGGCCACAGCTGGCTATAGTACTTCATTACTATATGTGGGATGCCACAATTTTAAGAGCATCATGACTTTCCCCCCCGTCAAAGATTTTATTTTTATTTTTAAGTCATCTCTACACCCAACGTGGGGTTCGAACTTACAACCCTGAGATCAACAGTTGCATCCTTTAATGACTAGCCAGCCAGGTGCCCCAAGCATCATGACTTTCTATGCCACCAAGAAAGACAAAAAGCTGCCAAGTGAACAACGACACAAAGGAAGACAACACAGCCCAACTTCAATAGCTGTTAACATGTCAACAAAGATGCACCCAGGAATCAATCAAAAATGATCATTCTGGTTAATCTGACCTGCTCCAAGTGCTGTGCGCTAGGTGTTGAGACAGGAACACAGGAGGAGACAAAAGGCCATCCCAGTCAAATGGGGAAACACACTCAACATCTAAACTTTACTTCTTCTGTCCTCTCCCCCCCCCAAGCCCCCAACACCAACCAGCCAGGACCTATTCCTCCTCCATCGCACTCATATTCTTTCCAGGCTAAGATGTGAAGCCATCTGGTTTCACCATGCTCCCTCCTCTCCCATTCAGCCCAGGGACTGCAACTCCATCTGCCCACCTCATCCCACTGCAAACCCCGAAATCCTGCAAACCCAAGCCCAAAGCCTGGAACGTTCAGTCTCCCTCCGCAACCCTCCCACTCTCCATCGCTGTCCCACGGTGTGATTTCAACATGTTGCCCCACTTTTTGTTCTTTTGCTTTCCTCCCTACAAGAAAAATAAAATAACCTGTCTTAAAGTGTAGCCATGAGGTCAGATAATTATGGAATCCAAAATGCTTCGAGCTTTGATTTAAAAAAAAAAAAGGATCCAAGATTAACTGAGACTATGACAACAGCCCTGTTTTTGTGAATATCGCTTTTTTCAAGATGCCTTACTCCTAACACCATGCTTTATGTCCATCCTTTTAAACAAATATTTAATAGCTTAGAAATGTTAGTGAGGGCAGAGGCTCTGGTTAGCACGGCCTCAGCTCGCAATCTGAAAGATGAAATGAGTTTTATCCACAAAGAAAAGTCAAACAGTCTCCAGTATTATAAACTGCACATCCATCAAACTAGGCATGGGCTGGGAACAGAGAGCCTTTCTGGAAAGAAAATAGCAGCTACCCTTTGTGCCCTAGGGAAACACTGGAAAAACACGCACACACAAAACCACCAAATCAACCAAAACGTAAACCAATTCTCAAGTTAGTTTGAAGACAGTTCCGTCCCAACAAAGCAAACGATGCTTTGGAGACACTTCCACCCAGGAGAGTAGGGCCAGCCCTGGGTCCAGCAAGGCGCCCGGGGTTGGAGTAACACGCAAGCACACGTGTTGAACCGGGAAATCCAGGAGAGCGCAAACAAGGAGGCGGGCGGCTGTGCCAGATCTGACCTACAGCGACCTTGGGACAGTCGGCAGTCCTAACTGGGCGGGCAGGGCAGGGCTAAGAGGGCTGGGGAGGGTGCGGAAGCCCGGGCACAGGCCTGGAGGAGGACGGTGGGGCTGGAACGACGGAAGACCGGGCTGGGGAGAGGAGCGGGTTCCTACCTTCAAGGCCGCAGGGGCCTTCCCGCGTCCCTAACGTTGCACCGGCAGGTTGCACCTGGGCAGGCAACAGCCGCCCAGCATCCGAGAGTGCGCGCCGCTGCCGGCGCCCCCCCAACCCCCGCCACGCGCGCACCCACGTGCACGCCATGCGCCGCGCCGGAAGCCCACGGGTGGGCGGTGCTCCCTGCCGCAGAGGCCCTAGGGCCACGCCCAGCACCCGCTCACCTCTCTGAGCTTTTGATCTGCGCCCCCCATTTTACGCGCAGTAAAGTCGCGGGATCCTCACCTGGGGACCAGGGCTTCCGGACCGATGAGAACAGGGAGGCCCAGAGGGAAAGGGCCACTTGCCAAGGCACACCGACAGAAGGAGGCGACGCCAAGATTTGAACCCTGGCCCACGGAGGCCTCTCCACCATCAGACCACTTGAGATCTTTGCCAAGTAAAGACACTGACCGTGTTGTGTGTTGAGAGCGCTCCTCTTATAACCACCGTCCGTGATGATTATTCACCCCGTTTTGCTTTGAGAACAGATGTGTCTGTCCTAGGCATGTGTAGCTGAGTGTGTGTGAGTGTGTGCGGCTGTGTGCGCGCGCTTTGGAGGATGTTGGCCCCGGCAGATTCACACTCGACAAACTGGTCGAGCCCCTACCCTGTGCCTGGCCCCGAGCTAGGCCATTTACACACACTATTTCTCGTCATCCTCAGCCCGTCCTGTCATCATTTAAAACTCATATCCTACTCTTCTGGGGCACTGATTTTTAATTAGGCATCATGAATAGCTAATTAATCGTCCTCCTGCGTGGTTTTCCAGGCAGGAGGGCGGTAGAGCTGTGCTGAGCTGGCCAAAGCTACCGCGGGCACTCTAGCTAAGCCCATATACCCTGAGGGAGCCCCTCTCCCGGGGCCAGGACATGAGGGAGAGAAGGCAGAGGCCTTGGTGTGTTGGAAGGCCTTTCTAGCAACACTGCTAACTTGACCTTTACTTCCTTTGATCAGCTCCGCTAGGAGTTTGGGCTCATGTATTCATCTGACTTCCATTTGTTAAAAGGGATATTGAAGAGGTTGAAAGCCCATCTGAACTCCTTCCTGTTCTTTGGAGAATGCCTGCCATTTTATTTTTTATTTAAAATTTTTTTTTTACTCCTGCCATTTTAAATGTTTTAAACATACATAGGTAGATTCATTTTAATGAGCGTCATTTAAAAGTTTAATATGAAGAGACCGAGTGAGCCAGCTCCAGGCAAAGTTGAAAATATTAACCTATACAAGAATAATTCTTTTTTTTTTAAGATTTTATTTATTTGAGAGAGAGAGGGGGATGGAAGGAGAGGGGAGAGCACAGAGAGAGAATGAGAGGGAGAACAGACTCCCCAGTGAGCAGAGAGCCCGATGTGGGGCTCCATCCCAAGACCCTGAGATCCCAGGACCCTAAGATTGTGACCTGAGCCGAAGGCAGACACTTAACCGACTGAGCCACCCAGGCGCCTGCAGAACAATAATCCTTCTTCAGGATACAAACGCTTCCACCAACATTAGCTCATTCCATCTTCACTGTGAGCTGGAGGGCACTTTGACTACTCTCATTTTCCAGGGAAGAAATTGAGGCTTGAAGGCCACCTGCCTGGCCCAGGGCCATGCACTGGGCTATGAGAGCCCACATTTAAGCCCAGGGCTCTCATTGCTACTGGCCTGTCTTTCCCCACGTCTCCCAGAGTTTTGCTCTCATTTTAGTACCTGTTGTTCTCACTTCTTTGTGTTGAGGCCCTGTGTCCTTGAGGCCCTCCACATTTCTCCACATTTCAATAACCAGAGGACTTTGGAAGGAGAGAAAAGGAGGTTTGGCCAACAGGGCTGCCTCAGGTGGCTCAGGGACTCCAACAGAGGCCCTCCTCTGGGCCTGGTCATGCCAACTGAGCTCAGTCTCCACCTCCTCCTAGGATCTCTTGTTCCTTCAACCCCTGCTCTGCAGAACCACATGCTATGTGCTGACTTGATATCTTAGCCCGGTTAAAAAGCTGTGTTCCCAAGAGTCCTCTGAATAGTGACCCTAGAGCTGGGATTGACTCAGGGGAGAGGGGCTTTAGGCAAGTTGGCCTTGCTCCTTCCCAGGACCCCGACTTCCATCGGCCAGCCTGGAGGGACACTTTCAATTATTTTATTCATTTATTCTCCTTCATGTAATTATCTTTTATTGATCATCTAGCAAGTGCTACATGCACTATATACATTGTAACTCAATCCTTTTTAATGACCCTACAAAAGGGAAATTGGAGGTTCAGAGAGGTTAAGTTGCCCAAGTTATAGAGCTGCTAGTTGCAAGACCTTCTGAACCCATGTTTCTCTGACACCGCAGTGTATACCTTTTCTTCCATACTCCACTGTTTGATTTCAAAAGAGATATTGGAGAAAAGATTAAAAAAAGAATCAAAACCACAAAGAGAAGGAAGAGCCACATTTTGGCCAGAGGGGCTAATGTGATTATGTGAATGAATATTAAGCCTGTCTCTGAGCTTCTTGGAAGCAAGAAATAAAAGTGTGGGGGCGCCTGGGTGGCTCAGTTGGTTAAGCAACTGCCTTCAGCTCAGGTCATGATTCTGGAGTCCTGGGATCGAGTCCCACATCGGGCTCCCTGCTCAGCAGGGGGTCTGCTTCTCCCTCTGACCCTTCCCCTCTCATGTTCTCTGTCTCCCATTCTCTCTCTCAGATAAATAAATAAAATCTTTAAAAAAAAAGAAAGAAAAGTGTGTGTGTGTGGGAGGAGCATGGACACAAGGGTCTACATGCTTCTCTATATAATACAGAGTCTCTATGGTAGAAGGAAATAAAAGTTTTTCCTTATTTTCAATTACAAAAGTAACTTCTCATATAGGATCTTATACAAGGACATTATGTAACAAAATTAAGAAAAATTTCAATAACCAGGTACAGCAAAACACAGATAAACAATTGTCCTGTGTAATGCATCCATCCATTCAGTAGTCACTCAACAAACACCGAGCAGCTATCACGCATTGGTTGCCCAGATGCAAAACACACACAAAAAAGGTAATTACGCTGTGTAATCAATCTCCTAATGGAAGCAGGCCCAGTACTCTAGGAGCACACACAAGTGGGATAACAACCCCGTGGGTGGAAGTCTGATGACCTCACAGACGAGATAACATTTGCCCACAGTCCTGGAGTTGGAGTTGGAATACCAACTCGTTTCCAAAAGAAGGAGAAGCATTCAAGGAAAAGGGAATAGAATGTGCGAAGGCATGAATGTAAATGGTGTGTTTGAAGACTGGATTGTCAGTGATCAGTGGGGAAGGACAGAACACGTAGGTGACAGCCAGCCTGAGGAGAACCTTGAGGGCCATACAAAGGGTTTTCTTGGCAGTATATGTGATTGAGTACTGAAGGAACAGAGAAAGGTGGAGATGGGGGTAGGCAGTTTAGCTGGGGAGGGCGGGCTGGGAGTGGAACGAGGGCTCTGGTAAGGCCTGAATGACAGAAATGGTCCCTGGAGATCAACCTCCAGTGGAGGAAGAAGAGCCAAGAGGCTGAAAGGCAAGGTAGAGGAAGCTTAGTTTGAGTGAAGGCAAGGACAAGGCAGCTAACAACAGGAAGATGTCTAAAAGAATGAGGTTATAAACAGAGTCTGGGGGTTGGCAAATGGGGGGCCAAGGGTGAACTTAGCAACAGAATTTCAGGGCACAGTGGGGTCAAACAGTAGGTTGGGTGACATCGTAAGTGGCCACTGAAGAGGTAGACAAACACAGGGAGAGAGCTGTTCTTCCAGAAGTCTGGAAGTGGATGGAAGAGGCACTGACCTGAGAAAAGACTAGGGTCTCAGCATCCTTGAAGCCAAGGGAAGGGGCCTGATGCAGGGAGAGGGTGAAGAGCCCAGCAGGTGAAGGGGCAGCCTTGGGGAGGAGAGACCCTGTTCCTCCAAGACCAGGGGGGAGGGGACGAAGGAAACGGAGGAGGAGGGTGAAGAAGAGGAGGGAAGGGAGGCTGACTCTCAGTGAAATACAAGATGGGCAGGGCACAGTGAAGGAAAGAACCACCGAGCTCCCAACATGGAGGGTTCAGCCAAGAGTGACAGTCACAAGCCTCTCGTGGTGTACGCTTTTCTCTGACAGTGCTTGCCAACTTGGAAGAAGGAACCCAGAAAACAGATGGTTGGGCATATTTAGCATTGGGTACCATGGACAACGGAGCAAGGACCTGGGAATGACAGTGTAGTTGAACCATTGAGCAGGACATCATCCCAGGCAGAGAACCATGCTGATCACTCTCTGTGTGCCCCTCTGGATCCCCCTCCACCCCTGCTCTTCGCCTGGGGGGCTGTCATCCATGGGTGGCATCGAGGGACTCCCTTGCCCTCTGGTTGCCGGCTAGGGTCACTTTGCTCCTCACCTCCACCCTACCCTCTCTGCCAAGGCTCTAGCTGCTCCTCCTGCTGTTCAGCACTCCCCAGGTGCAAATACCATTGGGCCCAGGGTGGCCGTCCCTGGTCCTCAAGATCCCTGGGGGCTGCCTAAAACCCCGCCACCCCTCTGCAAACAGCCCTTTACTCACCTCTTCTGTGCGGGTCAGTGGGGCCTGACTGACCCAGGAAGAACAGATCCCATGGGCCTGCCCAGCAGGCTGATGGAGGGAGATGAAGGGAAGAGGGGAAAGGAAGAGATGGCATGGGGGGAGAGAGGAAGATTAGGATTTCCCAGGTGGAGTTTATGTTCCTCTCTGGAAGGGTAAAGGGGGCTCCGTGGGATGGGGAAGAGGGTTATGGGGTGAGAGAAGGGTTCTGGGAGAGGAAGGGTGGAAATTCACATTTGTTCCTGTACGGCCCCACTGGTTGACCACAACCAGTGCTTTTGTTTCTTACACCCACACCCACCCACCCACACACGTGCGCACACACACACACACACACACACAGAATAATCCTCCTTTGATCCCTCTGAGCCCCAGCGCATGAGCTCAGGCCTCATGCTGACCACAGTTCCAGGTGACCCATTTCAGATTTGTGGCATCTGCACAAAAACGTTTCATTTGTTCCGACCTGGCTTTGCTGCCAGAAGAGTCCTAGCTCCCAGCA